AAGCTTCTGGAGCAGCTAGACCAGGCGGTTAGTCTTATGGATCACAGTGGCGCGCTTGTTGCGCTCCCATTTGACTTGAGAATCCCGTTTGCTCGTTATGTTGCGAGGAATGGAGTTTGTCAGATGAAAAGGTTTGACATCGGTTGCGTTTACCGCGTGAACCGAATCCTTGGTGCTCATCCTAAAGAGCTGTACGAGTGTGTTTTTGATATTGTCACAAGTACGCCGGAAAATCTTGTTCCTGATGCTGAAGTGCTGCTCTCTGTTGCTGAAATCATTAGGGAGTTTCCGTCTCTCTTTGAACGTAGTTATTATATCAGAATAAATCATACTGCCCTCATGAAGTCTTTCCTGGCATCCATTGGCATCACGGATGAAAGGCAGTTAGAGTTGCTTAAAATTCTACAAGAAACTCGTGGTGAAAATGACAGAAGTGAACAGATCAATGCGTTTATCGAGAGTCTGCAATTCAGTGAGCATAATGCTACAGCGCTGTCGGATTTTCTTAATTTCGAAGGTCCTGTAAGCAAACTTCGCGAGCATCTTATTGGTACAATGAAGCGGAAAACTTGGGTAGGACAAACGGCACGCCAGGCCTTCCACGACTTGGAAACGATAGTTTCACACACGGAAGCGTTGGAAATAAATTTACCAGTAGTGGTTAATACGTCCATGGTATACAACTTTCAGCATTTCTCGGGTCTGGTTTTCCAGTTTGTGGCTGCTAACACGCGAAAGCGGAAACGAGGAGGTGTTGATATCCTTGCCGCAGGGGGAAGGTATGATAAGTTGATTAATAGCTTCCGGCGAGCAGCAGCAGAAGCTACTCACCCCTCCCCTGGAGCGGTCGGTGTCAGTATTGCTATCGAAAAGATTGTCGCCAGTGTATTGGACGACCAGGATTCAGTTATACCTTGCGCCTACAATGTTTTAGTCTGTTCAGCCGGCCACAACCCCATGCATGCTGAACGCATGCGCATTGCCCGTAACTTGTGGAAGGCAAAGATCAAGGCGACAATCTCTTATGAAACGATGCCTCTAGAAGAATTACAGGAGTCTTGCAAAGAAGGGGGAATACAGTACATGGTTGTTTTAAAAGAACAGGAGCCTGGCAGTGTTAGGGTAAGTATAAGAATGAAAGTCTCTTTAACAGGTGATCTTGTTCCAGACTCTCTCCTCTACCCCCACTGAGTAATTTACTCGTTGCAAAGGCAATTACTGTTGCCAAGCAACACGGGATTCTGTTGTCATAAAGAACAGTATGAAGAACAATATGGAATTCGAAATGGCGAGGTAATGAACCCTTATTGTTGTCGGTAAAGTATATAAGTCGAAAATATTGTTAAATGATATCGCTCTTGACTTTTAATTGCCCGGCCCTGCTTCACTGAAGTGGCAGTTGGTGTGACCATCATTTTATTTATAACCAATCCTCCTTTTCCCCATAGCAACCATACAAGAACCAACCAACCAACCGGCTTTGTCTTCTTAGCGTTGTATCAATTAGCTGTGTTTAATCTATGTTACTCTGATTGACGTTGTTGGTTTGTTTGGGGACGTGTATTTTTATCAGGTACGTTCTTTGGACAAGGAAAAGGTCTCTGAATCTCGAATCCCAATCAAAGACTTAGTGGACCATCTTCAGGGGAAGCTTTCAAGCAGGCCTGAATCAACCGACTCCTCTATGATCCCTGGCAATAAGGGCACAGGTCAACAAAGCAATTATGAATCGAGTTGTACATTCGTCCCCGAAATGAAAGTCTCTTTCAACACACAAGAAAAGATGGCGTGGAACACAAAAAAGCGATATGAGAGCGTGATGACGTCAAAGATTAAACCACTCTTGGCTCACATTGGCTCAAAAAACGCCGTAGAGATTATAGGGGTACGTAATGGTTAGGTCAGTGTGATACCATCAAATCAAGTCAACAAGTCTCCTCTCACCGTTCGCGCTAACCCATTCTAGTGGTACTGCGCTATTGTGCAATACTGCGACGATAAACTTCTGTAGAAGATGTACTCCATCTAAATATTAGTGGGGTGGGCCCGGGTCTATAAATAGCTAACACGAAAATTGGAGGGAATTCAGTCGATTATAAAGAGTGTATACAAGGTGGTCCAAGGATGAACACTCACAGTTAAATAAATGAAATGAAATAAATTACAACTGAAGCAGCGAAAGAAATAGGCTCAGTCTCCAGCCTTGGGTGTCTCGATGCGCCCGCGGGTGGGGAGCACCTCGGGTGCCTCGAGAAACCCAAGGCTGGAGACTGAGCCTACTAAAGAAACTGAACAGTACTTTCGTTGGAATTGCCACTATGCAACACACGGCAATAATATTAAATCCTGTTTAATATTTTATCTTTTTTCTAGGTTGACTTGCCCGGTTCCGTTGTACGTGGTATGTCGGCCCTTCTTGACCTTGATGCAAATGAAGACGCTTTTGACGCCAGTGTGGCGACCATTGCAGACAAGAATCCTCGCTACAAAAAATATATTGGACGAGTTTGTGACGACATAAGGGAGCTTAAAGTTTCTAAAAAAGTACCCATCGTCATTGTGTACAGTGTAAAGGACGAAATGTTTAAAATGTTTTTCTGAATAAAACGAAATGTGTTGGTGATTTTATTGCAATTTATATGCGGCGGAGTAAAGAAATAAGGTATATCTACATTGTTTAGGTATTGTATATATGTTAAATAAAAAACAGAAGTTTTCTACTCTAATTGTGTTCCTTTGTTTCTTCAACCGAGTTTACGGTTCGTTTAGTGTCTAATGCAAGCGATGGAAACGGCGTGTGGCCGAAAAAGGCTAGAGTTGACACTCACTCCCGTCACGTTTGGCGGCAAAAAACTGGAACTAGGCGCAGAAACAGGATTTGATATTCGCTACTTAGGAGAAAAACACGCGGGCTGTATAGAAGGGCTCGCGAAGCTCGCGACACGCTCACAATTAGCCGTGGGGAACTAGAACTAGCCACTAAAACGAGGTCTGGGCAGGCCCGGTTCCTCGAAAGATGATTAAGTTTGATCTAAGATTAAGCCAAATTTTAAGCTGGGTTTTCTCGTCTAAGAACATGTAACTCAAGCTTTCAAAAAACTGTTGAGTCTTTACTCTGAGATACAGTCATGAAAACACAAATTGTTACCCTAAGCAATGCGAAGGAACGTAAGCACAAATTAAAGAGAGGAACAAAATCTCATTAGCACTAATCGGCCTTTCAGGAACCGGGCCCTGGAAAGCAATTTCGTCAAGCTCAAAGATGTCAAACCATAATTTCTTAATAAGCCCACCAGCAATCTGTTATGACGAATGAAATTAGTATGTTTAATCAAATGGTGACGAGTGAAACCCAGGGAATAATTTCAGGAGTATACGGTTTGATTACCTATTAATATCATGGGTGACGAATTACGTTAGCAATCTTGGATTTTTGACATGTTTATCCTGGATCGTATCGATCGAGAACTCCTGCACTCTCGCAAATGTTTAGAGCTTAAATTTGGCTTAAGTTCAGAGTTTTTCGACAAAATACCTGTTAGAATCCTTCTTGATGTGCTCTTTCGTGTATTCTGGTTTTCTAAAGCGTCTTTTTGTGCCCTGACATCTTCATTCATGACATTTTAAAACTTCGTCGCCATCTTGACACAGAGACGTACGGAAGGTTGCCATGGCAATTTTGTAATTTCACATTAGCGCTGAAATTTCGCGCCAAAATTAAGGAGTAATTCGTCACCTATGATATTAAAATAATTACTTCGATACATAGCAAATAGACGAAACCTTGACCAATCAAGCCTAAAACGTGATTTTATTATTAAATATGAAGGCGTATTGGATGTAAACGTATTAGAGACCTTTAGATTCTAAGACGAGTTCGAGATTTTCTCAGTACAGTGCTCGCGCGTGAACCAATGTCATTTTGGCGGGAAAATTGTGGTAGCCGTCGTCACTCGACTACGAATTTTAGCAAGAATGTCGAAGTGGGGAAAACGAGTTATCAAATGTTGGAAGTTTCATCATTTTGCGATCGGGAGAGCGCGTAACCTCCTTCACTAAACGTGACAGTGCTAACTTTTCTAGGGGAAAATGGTAAACTGAAGCTTTCCGGGGAGTCCATATTTTGAGAATACGCGAAAAAACTTTAAGTCAAATCTCGTACTCGTAGTCGTTCTCGTCCTTGAATCTAAAGGTCTTTAACCTCGTTGGTAAAGTGACATCAACAATAATCCACACCAAAGAGGATCACAATTAAACGACAAAAAGGTGTATTTACAATCGGGGGCCTCAAATGTTATTGGGTATTGCGCAAAGCAATGTCCAGGACAGCGGTTTTGCGCATTAGAGAGACTAACAGGCATTTTCAGGCATCTTCATGCCACCATAGGATTTCCGAATCCCACTCTTTGCTGAGTTTGATGTATCTCGGCAAGCAGCTTGTCATCTTGTAAATTTAGCTGAAACAATACGTTAAACAATATCAGTTATTAAACAAAAATTAGATGCTGACCTATAATTCTTACTAAATAAGAATTATAGGTCAGCATTCTGCTGAGTACTTTCCGTAATGAACACAGTAGTTATCATGAGAAGTAGCCTGCGAGTAGGCTCACTTCTTCGTGCGCATGGATAACTTAGGGTGCACATAAGAACGTGTTAGTTTTGACCTCTCTTCCTAGCGCCTCATAAGTCTTACGCACTGTGGCAGGCTTCACTACAATAATCAACACGAAATAAGCTAACGCAGTTCTTCATTTCTCACCTTTAGAGCGTATTTATAAGACTGTTCTGCTTCCAGTTGTCGACCAGTCTAAATGAAAAGATGAGTAACATGATCATTATGGTTTGTGTGTAAGCTCTACGATTATCCCTTGGTGAAAAACGACGATTGTGAGCGATTAATCGGGTGATAAAATATAAACCTGACAGACAAGTAAAGTAGAGTAAAAAACAGCGTTATTCTCACAAGTTACTTGCGATTGGTCGAGAGATATCTAAGGGTAAATACGAACCAATCTTGGCTGTTTGTGTCCACCCAAAAGGTCCTATAAAGCCTTACCCAATCTCCCTGTAGTTCATACAATGGCGAATTGAAATTGAAAGGTGTCAATCAGCTGGCTGTATAAGAACCCATCCCTCCTTTACAACCCCTTTCCTTCCCCTGGCTTTCCTGGCCTGTTCTCTCAGTGGTTTGACAGCCCTGGCGTCTTGATAATCAACACTCACCTCTAAGCAGACCAGTGACAAGTAAGACCATACTTCAGCGTCTTTGTTGTTCAATATATTTGCCTCAGATAAAGCATCCTCAGCCTCAGCTAAATCGCCCAGCTTCAAAAGAACAAGGTAGGCATCAGGCGTTAATGATTACGTGAATGATCAACAAAACACCTTCTCCAACTTAATCAAGAAGTACGTTCAGATCACAAACAATCAAATAGCTATAGCGCTCAAGTGAAGGGACAAACAAATTTAGTTATTCAAAAGGCAGTCGTTCGCGAAATAAATAGAAATATGATGTATAAAGTAGTCAGTTTGTAAATAGCCTGTGAACAGGCTCTCTGTTTTGGGATGGGGTGAAAAAATCGCGAGGAGAGAGAAGGAAAATAATAATTTTTCACCCTTTCTTTTCTCTCTCCTCGCGATTTTTCACCCTTTCCCCAAACAGAGAGCCTCTTCACAGGCTAGTTTGTAAATGGAAAGAAAATTTACCTAAATATTGCAGTTGGACTACTTAGCTTTTTTAAAAGCCCAGTCCGTCCGAGGGCATAAATTCTGTAGACGTTGTTCTTGACAGTTGTATTATCACTCACCCTGTAACAAGCAATTCCTACTCCCAGCCACGAGACACAGGATGGGGAGCGAACACAGGCCCTTAGGAATGTCGTCTTCGCTTTCTCAAACTGAAAAAAAAAACAAGACACTTTAAGACTGGTTGGCATGTCTGGGAATAGATCTGAGATTCCGGCATTCACGTATCTTAGTAGGGGGTGTACCTCTATCTTCTCCTTTCCTGACTGTACTTACGACAACACAAACAATTTGCAGTCAAAGCTGTCAATAGCCTCATAAAAGGGGGTTTCTTTGGTGTTTCTACTGGGTTCACTTCCGCGAGTAAAGCATTGGACACTAACCTACATATAATTTCTTCTTGCTCGTCTCATTTGACTTTTACTAAAAGACTATGACTAAGACAACCTTACTTTCAACCCTCCACATATGGTTCCGATGACAGCCACATCTGAATTAAGTTATCCTACAAAGTAAACATTCCAAATCACTCACTTCTCCCTTTTCCAGATAAATGGAAGCCAATCTCAGATAGATGGCATGCATATCAGAAGCTTCAGTTGTGTAGTCCAGCGTTCTCTGGTAGCAGTCTCTTGCTTCCTCGGTTCTGCTTGTCAGGAAATAAAGATGTCCCATCAAACCCCACGCGTCTGGGTTCTGTTCAACCGTAAATACACATAAATTAGAGACTTATTTTTTGGTCACGCCTTGATAAAGCTGCTCATTCTGCACAGTTGGTATTACATGCAGACCTTTGACAAGACAGTTGTAAATAGTAATCATTCAGTATATGGTACTCGCCGTGTAGATTTTTCATCACTATTTACAAACAACAAAAAGTATTCCAGGAAAAGAGAACAGAGGAATTGAACATCCCAACCTCGTGTTTTAGAACAATGGCCTGTTTAAGATTTTCTTCAGCTTCTATGAAGGATTTCTGTTGAATCTTAAGTCTTCCCAGTAAAACAAAGTAATCAGCTCCAGGCTCTCCATTAGCTGATACCAGCTCGTGTGCCAAGGCCGCGTCAGTTAACTAGTACCAGGAACAAACATAATCATGAGTACTTAGTTAAACCCTCCTTCACCATACTTAAAGTGGCTATTCAAGTATCCATGCAAGTTTGCAATAAGTCTTGTGACTATAACATAAACGTACTTGTCGTAATGGTGGTTACTGCGTCATTGTCGTTTCAAGTCTCTACAGAAGGAAATATCACACACAATAACAAGATGTATCACAAGAAAGTTACTTTTGTTGCCACGTGACGGTCCTGTTGAAACGAGAAAGCCATTCTTTTGTTCGTATACAAAGGGTATCAAAGTCAATTTAACAGCCGTTCAAGAACAGACTGAATACCTAATAATTTTTCACTGGATCGAAGATTCAAGTTTTCTTTGGTGTGTCAGAAGTATTTAATTCGATTGCAATGACTTCAAGTTTAAGTAAATGGTTAATGTTATACAGGAGCTCCGCTTTCAGGCTTTGCTAAATAAAAAGTAACCTCATTACCTGCAGAGCGTTTACTTCCAGTAAGAAATTCGCCGTTTGCAAGAAAATACTGGTATATGTTTTGACCTCCGCTGGCTTTTCCTTTGGTGGTACCGCATGTTGAGGCTCCTGAATTGGGGATTGGCGGTGAGAGCTATTAGCACTTGGAAGTCGTGAACTCTGCTTAGAAGCTACATGAGTTGAAGACTGGGTGGGAGGTTTAGATCCAGGCTTTGCCACGGGGGTGGCTGAACTAATCACAACTGATGGAGGGAGGGCTGCAAAGGGCTCCGTGGAGGCGGCATCCCCTGTACCTGGTGCAGTCTCTTGCCTTGGTGGCTCCCCAACTATTCAAATGAAAGCAAGACATGATAACCATACAAGATTTCCTTCCGCAAGGAAAGATGATACATGGAGGGAAGTAGGTGGCGACTTTCACGCACACGGCGTACTTCTCTCACTCTGCTATCTTAGAGAAACAAAGCGTAACCTTAGCGCAGGAAATCCAACGACTGTAATCGCACTCCAGTTAACAACAATGACAATTACCATGTACTTCCGGCATTCTAGTGGCGTCAGATGCACCTGTCCAGGGAGGACCTTCACCAACAGGTTCCTCGATCCCAGGTTCCGAAGCGTCACCCTCAACCTCAGCTACCACGTCAACAGGTTCTGCAAGCTCAAGTGAAGATGGCGTTGCTACATTCAAGCGGTTGGCCTCAAGAAAAGCACGCTCGGCTCCAATGTCGTTTTGTATGCTATCGTAATACAATCCTACAAGAAAAACGGTTTGCGCGATGAATTGCAGCTGTTGCTTGAGAGGTAACTAAAAAACAACTGCAAGATGCACACTTATTAAAGTTTCACTCATTTGTCATTTGTCAAATCACAACTAAAATTAACAATTTCTTGTCCTCGATCCAATGCTCAAGGTTAAAGTACAGAATTAACCAATCTTAACCAGTAATTTAACCAGTAACTCGCGTTCTTTTATAAGTCGCAAAATGTCCAAAACTTGAGTGCGTCGCACAGGAGTAGGTCAAAAGATTGCCCGACCGCTCCCCTTAAGGAAATATTGCCCCACCTACTTCCTCTTAAAATTTACTTCCACTCGCAGATATTTACAATTGTCAAAAGGAGAGAGATATAGAGAGAGAATGTTATACTTTCAAATGAATTTTTCAACTTTTGAAAGTAAAAAATGCTTCATCTTCAAACTTCAACACATTTTTCACTTTTTTTAACAAACAACAATACAAATAAATGACTAACACAACAAACAGGCACAGCGCAGCTGTGAACTAAGAATCTTACCCAAGATAGTCCACGCTATAACACTCTTGCTCTCAGCGCATGTGGCAGCTTCGAAGAAAGTCTCAGCTTCTTCATATCTCTCATTCATCAGAGCCATGCAGCCGTACATCAAAAGACTGGTAATCAGACAACCAAACAAACAATTAGGTACACAACTGAATCTAACAATGTATGAACATTAGATTTGCAACTCTGTCGCCAAGACACAGCCAATTAGATGAAAACGGTATGCGGTATGATTGGTAAAGACACATTCCGCAACTCATGATAAAACAAAGGAAATCACCACTGAAGGAAATCTCCGTTTAACAAATACAGGTATTCAATTTTCCTTGTGCAAGTTTACGTTATCCAGGAATCAGTCATTCCTGAACCCATTTCTCTATATTTGGGCGGTTTTACTGATGTTTTCGTCAGACGAGCAAATTCTCCGCCACGTTTTTCNGCTATAACACTCTTGCTCTCAGCGCATGTGGCAGCTTCGAAGAAAGTCTCAGCTTCTTCATATCTCTCATTCATCAGAGCCATGCAGCCGTACATCAAAAGACTGGTAATCAGACAACCAAACAAACAATTAGGTACACAACTGAATCTAACAATGTATGAACATTAGATTTGCAACTCTGTCGCCAAGACACAGCCAATTAGATGAAAACGGTATGCGGTATGATTGGTAAAGACACATTCCGCAACTCATGATAAAACAAAGGAAATCACCACTGAAGGAAATCTCCGTTTAACAAATACAGGTATTCAATTTTCCTTGTGCAAGTTTACGTTATCCAGGAATCAGTCATTCCTGAACCCATTTCTCTATATTTGGGCGGTTTTACTGATGTTTTCGTCAGACGAGCAAATTCTCCGCCACGTTTTTCACATTTGCACTTCTTGTGTATGGATATTCTTTTCCACACTGCTGCCAGGTTCCAAAGGAATTCATTTCTGCTGAATACTATGCCGTGTAAACATGAGCAAGAGTTATTGTACTTAAATGAGAATCCATTACCGCGAGACTTAAGAAACGACATCGAGAATACGCGACGAAAATGAATGGACTGATGTTAACAACCAGAAGGAGAAGGGCTATTTACCTTAATAACTTTATTATACTTACCCTGGTAGATGTTTCTGAGCAATTGCTATTGTCTCTTTAAAACATTCTTCCGCCTTAAAACAACAAACAACGCAATTGAAACCTCATTTCTACATATATAATAGTTTTATTGTTCACTGTACATTCTACTCCTTTTCCATACTTGTAAATGTGGTCCTATCTACTTCAAACCAAACTCACGAATAACAAAATATAAAACGACTATAAAAGTAAATCCCGATTAAGCACTCTAACAAATCAGCATTTTAGATCATCTATTGCTGCCGATTATTTCAACATGACGGTGTCCAACAAGAAAGCTCTTACTACTTTGGACACTATAGTACTGTACACAAATGAACTTAATGTCTTTTAGTTAATTATTATTTGTCAGCTACTTTATTTTCCTACCTACGTACACTTATGTAAATATCTTATATAGTGTGAAATAAAGAATTGAATTGAATTGAATCTCATAAGGTCTCCTGGTCAATAAGCGTGCTTTTGCAAATAATGATCTGTCAGAGTGGAAAAAAACGAAAAATCAAGTAATGTATCAAAGTTTCTCTCAGACAAGCGGGAATTCTTTGTAAAGGCGCCTTAGGTGTACTGAAAGGTTTTATGATATTCTTCTCTGCTTACCTTTCCAAAGTCTCCAATAAGTAAGCAAAAGGCTCCGTAATCAAACCAGTGATCTGGATCGTTCTTGTTACGGGACAGCCGCTTTGATAAAAAAAAACCCTGTTAGTAATTCCTAGTTCACGTGACCTGGTGGACGCCCGCTATTTTGTTTGAGTTCAAGGCAACAGTAAGCTGACGTCATGAATATACATAACGTATGTGAAATATAAGACTGACAACCTCTCCAACGGCCAATGTGCAGAAGTTTACTTTCTTGGCACGCACCCGTCAGTCTGAAAGCTATTGATGTATTTCCCTCTTCTGGGAGGTGAATAGAAGACCATGTCCTACCCCCGGTTAGCATGCACCTCTCCAGAAGGCGCTATATTTTACTCAAACAACAGACGCCCAAAGCACGCTCTGGTGTAAATTTACAAGAAAGAAAGGGATTACAAAGAGTACCTCTTGGTAGTACTTGGCAGCAAGCTCGAAATTCTGGTTCACCTAAAAATATCAAACAGAGAACACACGTATGATGAGGATCAGTTTAATATTGTATACCGATCTTTTACTTTTTGTATAAACACGACTGCACAATAACTAAGAATAATGGACCACACTGCTGAATACAACTACGATGTTGGGGATACACACGACAAAATAGCTTAAAAGGTAAATTTACGGCTCAAAAAAGCACAAGCAAAGTTCTAACGTTATATGAAACGTGTAGTCAAGACGCAAAATAATACTACTAACAATTAAATGGAAACTAATAATTTCTATTCTTGAAATCACAACTTTAAACTTTACGCTTTTGCCCCAGAAACGGAAAAAAACAACGAGCTGCCGCAAAACGTGCACGTGGCTAGAACAACGCCTAATAGTGATAAAATTCAACGCCGGGAAGTGCAGTAAAGATAACAGACCGCAGTTTCACCCTTAAGAGAAAAGGCTTCGTCTACTACAGAGGAAACTTTTTAAAAAAGTGTACAATGTATTTCTTTGTCGCGTAACTCAGCGAAAGAAGGCAAAATAGGACAACATGGACGTAAATAGGGTTTTTAATTGTTTCTACGATGTACAGACGTCACGTGTCAGTACCTCGGCCTCTCTAGCGAAGTGTTTGAGTGTTGCAGAATCTGTCACGGGTGCTGGCTCCTCTGGGGTGTCCTCTGCAGTCAAAAACTAAACACACAAACACAAAACCAATAATAATAAGGATCAGAACAAATTAAATATTTCATGCTTTTCAGCTAGCTTTAGCTTGGAGTTTTTCATGACTTTAGGGAGGGGGGTGAGCCATGGGGCTGATGCTTCTGAACTGGGGTAATTTAGAAGGGAGGAAAGGGGCATAGCTTCCAAAAGGCTAAGTACTTACCAAATTTTCATACTTTGTTTTCTAGTATTCAAACACATAAATATTTCTTGCTGTTGGAACTGACTGTGGCAAATTTCAGCCATTTCAATAACTCTGGGTTTGCTAACAGCGCTCTAGCTAGGGAGAAGAGACACCGACAAAATACAAGCAGATAGGGAGTTGAAAGAGGTACGTATTAAAAACCTGACGACATTTACTGGTTAACCAACTGTTTTGTCGATTTGACTCAGTAACATGACTAAAACAAACAGTATCTCGTCATCGATATTACAATTAATAGCAGAGTGGGAGCTGGGGGGGGGGGGGGGGGAAATAAATTTGGGGCTTTCAAGAAGGGGAGGGGTTTGATGTATCAAAAAAACAAACTCACTTTGTTAAAGGCACGGCGATCCTGGTAATTTAGAAAAAAATATAACTCGCTTAAAAAAGCCTAAGGTTTCTCTTTTTCCAAAAAGCAGTTTGGTTAGGGGGCGTGGGGGTGGTGGGGGAGGTAATTAATTTTGGGCCTTTCAGAATGGGAGATGTATGATGTATCTAACAAATCAACTCACCTTGTTTAAGGCAACGTGCATCTGGTCAATTAGAAAAACATATAACTCGCTTAAAAATGCCTGAAGTTTCTCCTTATCTGCAAATGCTGTTGTGTTCAAGTACTTTTCACGGACAATCTTAATCACACTGTTCTGTGGATGAAAGCAAATAAAGCAGTATTAATAGTCTGGAAAGGCAAGCTCACACACACTTAATTCACTTATTCCGCACAGTTTGTTACTTCTCGTTGTATCAGTTTTGTGTTATATCTTTATAATGTTGCTACAAACACGCTTGCCTCCAGTTGCAGTTTAATTGCAACATGATCGTAAACGTTTGAAAAGGAAATACTCCACCCACAAATCTTCGGTACCCACCACGCCCGTAGCTCACGTTTGAGACAGGGTAGTTATACTCCTTTCATTACACCTTGTTTTCCATATAATGCGGTCTTCACTAAAACTGTAGACTATTTGATTTAATACCTTTAGCTGCTCCTTAAATGCAAAGTACTTCCCAGATGTATTCAGGTCGTACAGAAACTTTTGCCTTCTGTCACAGACAAAAAAAAACATATAAAGGTTGCAGTAGCTACATTAATGGCAGAAGAAAGGGAAATGTAGGCCGCCTTCACAGTAAGTTAAAATAGCTTTCATATTTTTCACGGCACAGCACTAACAAAACGTGTAATTGTACATGTACAATAAGAAAGCGCCCTGTTTAGAATTTGGGCCCAATAGGAAATAAACGCTGTTTAACCTAACCTCTCCATTTGTATGTTATAAATATTTCATTCTATAACGCTTTATTCTGGTAATCTGTCCCATTTCTTCACTAGCAAGGTTTCTTTTTCAAGGAGTGAACTCTTAACAAACTGAATTTGATTTTTACAACACCTTTGGTCCATGGCATCATTTGACTGTGGCAGATTTCCCTTCATTAAATCATCACCGTACATTTGCCTAAAAGTTCACAACAAACGAGACGACAAAGGCATAATATTAGAATTGTTGCACTTACTTTAAAGGAGAAAGTTTTTTGAGAAACTGTAGTGTTACGTCTGTGGGGGATTTGACGAGGTAGATTGACCAATACTAGGGAACTCAGAAACTGACGTCAGAGCGAATAGAAGGACTGGTTCGGCAGCTTCTCAATAATTTTATGATGATAAAAGTTTATCTGTACACTTGGAAGCCAAACAGACTGACCGTGGTTGAAATTGGAAGTACAGCTATAATACAGTAGTTAATTCTTAGGGATCTTACTTGAAAAATGTGTCAGTAGGTTGCCGCTTAGTGACCTGACTCAAAATCCTCGAAAATTCTTCAAATGCAAAGAAAAACCTAACAACTAAAACCAAGGCTTGCCTCGACTGCCATAGACTGTGAGCAGTCTCTCTTTTTCTTCAGCTTAAGTGAGGGGGAGTGCACGCGCGCGCGATCTGAGCGTCAAGCGGCACCCGAGAAACGAGGGCGCCTTCAGTCATGCGCATGGTTATTTGTGTCTCTCGCGAATTTTGCTCCACGGACCAAGAAAAAGGAGAGACTGCTCGTAGTTTACAACTGCCAAAAACTTGATCATCAGTCACAAACCTGAATTCCTCCAACAAGGAATTGGCGACTATGGTCAGCTGAGTTTGGAAATCTTCCACAGCCTAAAAAAAAAAACATTTGGAAAACTTAGTTGAAAGTTAATTAACACTGACTTAGCCATCTAATTTGACTGCAAAAAAGTCTGTTTTTTTCTCAAATTGTTTTTTCAAGGCACCACGGAGCATCGGCGAGAGCTTCTCGCGTGAAGTAGGCGAGCCCTCTTTTGATCTACGCAAAATAAGGGCTGTTTTTCAGTCTTTTTAATACTCAAATTGGAAACAGGAGACAACATTTTTACCTTCTTGGAGCCTCCTGTTTTGCGAGCAAATACAGGTCTTGGCGGAATATACTCTGCCACTCTAAAAAAGCCAAAAAAGATAAAATATCATTTTTACCACATTATACAATAATTATTCTTGAAATTTGCATGGACACTGCGTTAACAGTCATGCTACCACACAAGTAACAAAAACAGATGTTTTAATAGTAACAAAAAATGTTTCAAGCAAAGGATTAAATATATTTAGAATGATTACATACTTTCTTGCTAGTGACGAAGGTGGTCTTTTAGGTACCAGTGGTTTGTCCAAAGCAAATTCCAATGTGATGAATGTTCGAGCTTCCAGGTATTGCTACAAATGTACACCAAAAAACATTTTTAAGGATTGTGCTGTGAGAGTACATACAGTAGAGCTTAAAAAGATAACTGACCCTTAGCTGTAGGAACACTATAAAAAATTTAATTAATTATTTATCATTATAATTAATTTAATTTATTATATAATATGTGCGTAACCAATAGCAAAACTGAGAAAAAAAATAAAAAATTGTTGGCCTGAAGTACCTGTCCCTCCAGATTCTTAGCTTCAATTGTTTCTCCTTCCGTTGATGTGTCTGCTGGCTTTAAACCTGCACCTGATGGCTGATAGCAACAATACTACTCATCACCCTAGTCCGCTCAACTCTCACAAAAGTAAAGCACAGATATTTTTAACAGGCCATTCCCCGTTTTAATTGAGGAGAAGGAGTAAGCTGACCTCATTTTAATAAACTTTACCAAAGTAGGCCTCATTAAAAGACTCCTGAGAGTGTAGGTGGGCCACTGTCCACTTAACTGTCGGAAATGACTTTCTTGCAGTCAACAAAAAAAACTTGGAGCAAGAGGCTTTTCTCTAACTGCAGCTCACTCACAGTGTCAATTTGCAACACTTCAATCCTCCAGTAAGATAAGAGGCTTGTCACTAACCGGTTCACAGACCCTCTTTTTTCTCTCCAAAGTTTGTCAAGCGCGCATGGTAAAATATAAACTGTGGGAGATTTATACTCTGTCTTCATTCTTGTGAGCTTACCGATGTTTTTGAAAAGAACGAAAAGAAAAATAAAACAACGTCTGTTTACAGGCTAGCTTCTCACCAATGGAACAAGCAATAACTTTAACAGTCCTTCTATATTATATATAGCAAAAGAAAACTATAGGTACTTGACTTGATACCTTTGTTTTAGCATCTGCCTTTCCCTGTTTGGTAAGAGCAGGGGTCGGCTTTTGGGCCATAGCTGAGGCAAGGGTACGGCTCATTCCACTAGCCACTCTGGCAGCCTCCTCTGCTAGAGCTCCTTTACGTTTGGTTTTCTCATAAACCTCATTTTCAATAAATGGCCTCACAAGATAGGCACCTCTGATTCTAAAAAAAAGGCAACATGGCTTTTTTAATACTGGGGGTTAAAACATTTAAGCCAACAAGAATAAGTTCTTATACATGTGCAATAATCTTGTATGCAAGCGATCTGCAGTCACAAACCTTTTCACACCAGGATAAAGTAATGGTGCCATGTTGACATAAGCTACTCCATGGTATGATATGGGGATGTCCTCCTCTAAAGATGCCTGTTTTCCTTTTGCTTTGGTCACTTGTTGAACCGGAGTTCTCATTATCTCCACAGGCCAGAATCGATTTTGAGCAATTTTGTTCTGCAGACTGCAAAAGAGCCTCAAAGTTAACAAACTGTTTCTCCCAAATATGTTTTTCCAGAAAAATTTTAATAAGCCCAAAACAGATACTGTTGATTAGGAGTCTGGGCTCCCAGTACTGTAGTACATGTACCGGTATATAATTTTCCTAACAATAAATTGTCTAAAATCAGGAAATTTGTCCATTGGAACTAAAAAGGTTAACCTAACCCTAAACCTTATCACATTCTATACCATGCTGAAAACCACAAAGTTATGGCAAAATTAGAAAGAATTTACAGCTACCCACATGACCTTACAGTCTTCTTCCATATCCTTAATAAAATGGCTCTATAGAACAATGGAACTTGAGATTTCACCTTTCAGCAGCCTCAGCACTTAAAAAGCAACGTCTTTCTGCATTCCAGGTTACNGGCAAAATTAGAAAGAATTTACAGCTACCCACATGACCTTACAGTCTTCTTCCATATCCTTAATAAAATGGCTCTATAGAACAATGGAACTTGAGATTTCACCTTTCAGCAGCCTCAGCACTTAAAAAGCAACGTCTTTCTGCATTCCAGGTTACATGATTCTTTTCATTAACAGCTTCATGTCGGAATGTAACATCTTCTTTGTCCCTAAGATCACCATCTTCATCTTCAAAAGGCACTTCTTCTATATTACTGTTGCAAAGGAAAACAAGAGTTCCATATAAAACTTAAACAAAGTGACTTGAGTATATTTTTGCTACTGAACAGCAGATCAGGAGGGCACATACTCCATATAGCCATGCAGAGAAAGCAACTGTGGGCAGGGCAGCCTAGGCTGTGCCTCCCAGTGTTTTTTCAAGTAGTAAATTAAAACAATGTATGTTTAAAATTTTTTATCAAAATGACATAACAATTATGTCATTTTGATCATTATTATACATCTGTACAATCACAAGATTTATGTTTTGCATATCCACAAGGAACTGGATGACCATGAAAGAACTTGTTTACAACTTTTTTTATTTCATTAAAAACCTGTTGAGTCCCCAAATAAAACCCACTCTGTTTAACACTCTAACCTGCCATCACAGTTTTGCAAACGGTGCCATTGCCCTGCCTATCTTAGGGATTTGTCAGAACTTAGCAGGGGGGATGGGGGTGGAAACAGAGGGAGGGTCACAACTTTTTGAGACTCGGAGAAGGGAGGGGTCATGAAAAATGGGCCGTTAAAAGGGGGAGGGTCATGCAAATATATGCCCGTGATCATGTAGAGGTTCACTCAAAGAAGAAAAAGGAAGTTCTTTATTTGGTAAAAAAAAAACCTGGGAGAAATAGGAGAGTCAAGTAATCAGCTGTCAGAATCAGAGTCAGACTCTTAATGCTGTCATCTAAAATGTATGTATATAGCATTACAAAGAACAGATTAAAAATATATTTGAGTTTTCATAATACTGACTCACCCTAGTGTATTGCAAGAACTAATCATTTATACAAGAGGGGGAGGGTCATGATATTTTAGGCCAAGCTCAAGGGGAGGGTTAACAAATTTCACTCCCATGGCAGGGATGGATCACCTCATTTCTGAACCCAAATTTATAATCCCCCCCCCCCTGCTAATTTCTGACAAGTCCCTTATAACTCGTAATGATATTCTTTGATACCTGTCAGCTATGAACAGACATG